GTGCAATGGCTCAGGCCTATAATCCCAGCACTTTGAGATGCCGAGGCGGGTGGATCACCTGATGTCAGGAGTTGAAGACCAACATGGCGAAACCCAGCCTCTACTAAAAACGTTAAAATTAGCTGAGTATGGTGGCACATGCCTGTAATCCCAGCTACTCGGGAGGCTGAGGCATGAGAATCGCTTGAACCTGGGAGGTGGAGTTTGCAGTGAGCCAAAATTGCTCCACTGCACTCCAACCTGGGTGACAGAGCAAGACTCTGTCTCAAAAAAAAAAAAAAAAAAAAAAGAGGTGATCAGAGATTGACAGGCAGTCTAGCTTTTGGTCTTTGTTTAGAGTCAGCAAGGTCTTCAGAGATGGTTAGATGCTCAGGCCAGCCTCTCAGGGTCAGCACAAATAATACAGGGGTGATAGGCTTGGGCGTCGTTTCTCCCAGGTGTGGGCAAGGTTTCTAGACTAGACCAGATATTATTAGCCACCAAGCCCAGCCAAGTTTTAAAATTTTGTTTGTAGAGATGGGATCTTGCTATGTTGCCGAGGCTGGTCTTGAACCCCTGGCCTCAAGCAATCCTCCCACCTCAGCCTCCCAAAGTGCTGGGATTACAGGTGAGCCACCTCACCCAGCCCAGTTGTTACAACTTGGATAAATATCATTATTGTCCCACATGCAGATGTTTCTGTCCACACTACTTCTTGTCCGAACAAGAACGCCTATTTCCCCATAAAACTCATAGTTTTAAGTTTAAATTTTACTTTTATTTGTGTATTTATTTTGAGACAGAGTCTCACTCTGTCTCCAGGCTGGAGTGTAGTGGCACAATCTCAGCTCACTGCAGTCTCCACCTTCTGTGTTCAAGAGATTCTCCTGCCTCAGCCTCCCAAGTAGCTGGGACTACAGGTGCGCAACACCACACCCAGCTAATTTATGTATTTTTTAGTAGAGACAGGGTTTCACCATGGTGGCCAGGATGGTCTCAATCTCGTGACCTCGTGATCTGCCCGCCTCGGCCCCCCAAAGTGCTGGGATTACAGGAGTGAGCCACCGCAGCTGGCCAAGGTAGGGCAGGGCTTACAGTGAGAAGTCTCCACATTCCCATCTCAGCCCTCCCATTCCTGTCCCCAGAGCCACAGACTCTGATCTCAGCCTTTCTGGTAAATGGGAAGTGATATCTCACTAAATAATCTCATGATTATGTTGATGTGAAAACAAACTGCTGTATGTTAGGGAGTAGAACGTTGCATTTGAATGAACTTTAAGATAAAACAGGAGCCTTCAAAGACATTTTATGCTCAAGGGTGGGGCAGGGCGTGAACGGCCTTCTCCTGGGGAAACCTCTGCCTCAGTCTGGGAATGAATGCGTGGAATGAATGTGCGAAGGTGCCCCCACCCCTCTCCATCACGTTGAGGTTTCCCTCATCCCCCAGTCACCTGTTTACAATCCATCGATTATGGCTCTCCCTGCCTTTGGCCCGGTTACCACCTTGCTGCCTTACCAAGTCAGTCACTTCCTCATCTGGGCTTCAGTTTCCTAACTTGTTAAAAGGGGGCTGGGTTAGGCCCCATTCCAGGTGAAGCATTCCAAGACTGATCGACTAATTCACATTAAGGTGTAGATGGCGGATAACAGCTTAATGTATTACCTCTCCTGTGGGTGGAAACATTTTAAGAGATGCAATTTCTCATCCTCCAAGAATGAACGTGCATGGTGCAATTTCAGGTATGGTCACAGGTGGGTGGGGATGCTGTGGGGGAGGGGGTCCCTTTCCTGGCACCCCTCCAGTGGTCACTGTAGGCCCCCACCTGCTCCAGCCAGGGGTGGTGGCAGCCCTGAGGGGACAGACCTGCTGGCTTCTCTCACGCCGCACTCCACATTCATTTCTCTCTGGCAGTGGCCAAGAGCAGGGTTTTGTCATACAGAAAAATGCCTCATCAGGGAAACCCAAGTGTGTGGCCTGGAAAACTACCTCATTCCCTGGGGCGAGGGGTGTGGTGGAGGTGTTCGCAGCTTGATTTCCAGGTTCTCAGGTCAGTTCTTGTCCTGGGCGGGTGAGGAGACCCCCGCTGGAGGGCCACTGGCCTTCCGCCAGAGCAGGTGGTCCGGCCACACCTCGATCCAAGACGTCTGCTTTTTACGAGAAAGAGACTGTGTCAGACGCTGTCTGGTTTTGTTTGATCAAGGAGGTTTGGTTTGGCTTCTGAATTTTTAGGGAGGGTTGGTGGCTCACAGCCATCAGCCACCGTTAGCCTGTCAGAAAGAGGAAAGGCATTTCTTTAGCTGTGAGGTCTAGGCTGGCTGCTCCTGTGCAGTGCAGGCCACTGCACCCCACCCCTCGTTCCCTACTTGCTCCCTGGGCCCCCCCGGGGTGCTGTTTTGTCTCACTACTGTCTGGGCCTTTCTTTGGGGGAGGCAGCTGGAGAAGCCAGTCTGTGCTGCCCCTGGAACAGTGGTGGGTGGGGATGGAAACCAGGGGCTGAGGAGCCCAGGTCAGATCAAAGAGGGATGCGCCTTGCTCTCTGGCAGAATCTCCACTGTGGCATCCCCTCCTCCTCCTCCGTGGACCAGGGCAGCTTCTCCAGACCTGAGGATGCTTAACCCTTGAGCGTCATCACAGAGCACTCAGAGCTCTAGACCCTCTCTACGCAAAGGGCAGTCCATGACCAGCCGCAGCCGCCTCACCTGGGAGCCAGTCACGCTGCAAGCCTTAGGGAGGTGACAATGCCATGGAAGCTCTCAGGGGAGGGCCCTCTGAGGGGGAGACTCACCACAAGCCTTGTTCAAGGGAGAGAGATGGACGCTGGGAAGGCTAAGGAACGCACGATGGGGCCATGTGCTGAACTAGGGAGGTGCCTGAATTAATTTCCTTCCTTCCTTCCTTCCTTCCTTCCTTCCTCCCTCCCTCCCTCCCTCCCTCCCTCCCTTCCTTCCTCCCTTTTTTTCCTTTTTTTTTGAGATGGAATGCGCTCTTGTTGCCCAGGCTGGAATGCCATGGTGCATTCTCGGCTCACTGCAACCTCTGCCTCCTGGGTTCAGGTGATTCTCCTGTCTCAGCCTCCAAACTACCTGGGATTATAGGTACATGCCACTATGCCAGGTTAATTTTGTATTTTTAGTAGATACGGGGTTTCACCATGTTGGCCAGGCAGATCTTGAACTCCTGACCTGAAGTGATCCGCCCGCCTCAGCCTCCCAAAGTGCTTGGATTATAGGAATGAGCCACCACTCCTGGCCTTTATTTCTTTCAAAACTGTTTCTTTTAGTTTTATTTTATTTAAAATAGGCAATCCACTCACACAGTTAAAATTCTAAGGCACAGGAGGGTATGTAAGTTACGGTTTCTTTCACAGACCTGTTTCCTAGCCGCTTCCCCTCTCAAAGGCAACCCATGTGGCCCAGAGACATTAGATTATGCCAGTAAAAACATGCGTGTGTGTGTGTGTGTTTGTGTGTGTGTGTGTGTGTGTGTGGTGTGTATTCATACTCATTAGACCTGTTTTAAAAATTCAAAGGTTGGCCCATGGCATGCAGTGTCTGGACCTTACTTTTCTCACCTAGCATATCTTGTAGATCATTCTATGTCAGTATGTAAAGAACATCCTAGATTGTATTTCAGTTGAATATTACTCTACTCTAAGGATAGATCTCAATTTATATAGCCAGGACCCTACGGATGGACTTTTAGGTTGTTTAATGCATATAGCTTAATTTTAGAATCTTAGAAAATGGAAGGTCATTTAATCACCCTGCCTAGGATTTTTTTTTTTCTTTCTTTCTTTCTTTTTTTTTTTTTTTTGGTAGAGATGCGGTCTTGCTTTGTTTCCCAGGCTGGTCTTGAACTCCTGGCTTCAAGCTATCCTCCTGCCTCAGCCTCCCTCCCAAAGTGCTGGATTACAGGCGTGAGCCACTGCGCCCAGCCCTGCCAAGGAATTCTTTCATGGTATCTGACTGCTTGTCTGAGCCCCAGCTGGAATGTCACTGCCTCTGGGAAGCTCCACCTCCCTCTCCCTCTCATCACCCTTGCACATACCTTAGCCAGAGCCCTAATGACATGATATCATGTAGGCAAAAGTGTGATAACTTTGCTTTTGTATCTTCCCAACCCTGCTCCTATTGCAGAGCGTAGCAGGTACAGAACCAATTCACATTGACAATCCCTGAGAGGAAACGCCTCCAAATTCTGCTGCTTAGACACTTCCAGTAACAGGAATCTCACTTCCTCAAAAGCCTATTTTGCCTGTGAAAGGCCTTATCAGACAGTCCTTTGATGAAGCTAAGTCTGTTTTCCATTGGCTTTTCCCTCTGGGTTCTAGTGCATCTTCTAAACACAGATGTAATTCCTCTTCCAGATATTTAAAATAACCTCCTTTCTCTAAGCCAGATACCGATCACCCTAACATCCCCTCCCCCATTTCCTTTGGGCTCTGGTTCCAGATCCTTTACCTTCTAGCATTTTCCCCCAGATACTTTTTGATTTGTAATATGATTGGTTTAAAAGTGATATCTGTCTGGGTGCAGTGACTCATGCCTCTAATCCCAGAACTCTGGGAGGCCGAGGTGGGCAGATTACTTGAAGTCAGGAGTTCGAGGCCAGCCTGGCCAACATGGCTAAACCCTGTCTACTAAAAATACAAAAATTAGCCAGATGTGGTGCCACACTCCTGTTATTCCAGCTACTTGGTAGGCTGAGGCACATGAATCGGTTGAACCCATGAGGCAGAGGTTGCCAGCGCCGAGATCACACCATTGCACTCCAGACTGGGTGACGAAGTAAGGCTCTGTCTCAAAAATAAAAAAAGTAATGTCTGATTGTTACACATCTATTAGAATAGCTAACACTAAAAAGACTGACCATAGCGGCCCGGTGCAGTGGCTCACGCCTGTAATCCCAGCACTTTTGGGAGGCCGAGGCAGGCACATCACCTGAGGTCAGGAGTTCAAGACCAGCCTGGCCAACTTGGAGAAACCCCGTCTCTACTAAAAATACAAAATTAGCCAGGCATGGTGGCACATGCCTGTAATCTCAGCTACTCAGGAGATTGAGGCAGGAGAATCGCTTGAACCCAGGAGAAAGAGGTTGCAGTGAGCCGAGATCATGACATTGTACTCCAGCCTGGGCAACAAGAGGGAAAGGCCATACCAAGTACTGACCAGGATGTGGAGCATTAAAACTCTCCAGCACTGCTGGTGGGAGTGTGAAATGGAACAGGCACTTTGGAAAACAGTTGGCAGTTTCCTAAAAAGTAGTTAAAGACACATCTTTCATGTGACCTAGCCATTCCACTCCAAAATGTTTACTCAAGATAAATGAAAGCATATGTCCATTCTAAGGCATATGCTCCTAGCAGCTTTATTTGAAATAGCCAATGTCCATCAACAATGAATACACCGACTGTAGTATATCCATGCTTTAGAATTCAACCGAGGAAAACAAAACCCACTGATCCACTTGAACATGTATTGATACAATGACAATGAATGACACAGATGAATCTCAAAATTATTATGCTGAGAAAAGAAGCCAGATGAAAAATAACGAGTCCATACTGTATGATTCCTTTTTTTTCTTTTTTATTATTATTATTTTTTATATAGAGATGGGGTTTCACCATGTTGGCCAGTCTGGTCTGGAACTCTTGACTTCAAGCAATCCACTGGCCTTGGCCTCCCAAAGTGCTGGGATTACAGGCATGAGCCACCGAGCCCGGCCTGTATGATTTCATTTATATAAAATTATAAAACATGCAAACTAGGCCTCACATCTATAATCCCAGTACCTTGGGAGGTCGAGGTGGGAGGATTGCTTGAGTCCAGGAGTTCAAGACCAGCAGCCTGGGCGACGTAGTGCGACCTTGTCTCTCTCTCTCTCTTTTTTTTTTTTGAGGCAGAGTCTCTCTTTTTTTTTTTTTTGAGACAGAGTTTCGCTCTTGTTACCCAGGCTGAAGTGCAATGGCGCAATCTCGGCTCACCGCAACCTCCGCCTCCCAGGTTCAGGCAATTCTCCTGCCCCAGCCTCCTGAGTAGCTGGGATTACAGGCACGCGCCACCATGCCCAGCTAATTTTTTGCATTTTTAGTAGAGACGGGGTTTCACCATGTTGACCAGGATGGTCTTGATCTCTTGACCTCGTGATCCACCCGCCTCGGCCTCCCAAAGTGCTGGGATTACAGGCGTGAGCCACCGCGCCCGGCCCCATGCAGAGTCTCACTCTGTCGCCCAGGCTGGAGTGTAGTGGTGTGACCTCGGCTCACTGCAACCTCCACCTTCCAGGTTCAAGTGATTTTCATGCCTCAGCCTGCCGAGCAGCTGGGATTATAGGCGTGCACCACCACGCCCAGCTAATTTTTGTATTTTCAGTGGAGATGGGGTTTCACTGTGTTGGCCAGGCTGGTCTTGAACTCCTGACCTCAGTGGATCTGCTCTCCTCAGCCTCCCAAAGTGTTGGGATTACAGGCATGAGCCACAGTGCCCAGCTGAGAGCTTGTCTTTACCAAAAAAAAAAAAAAAAAAAAAAATGAGCCAGATGTCATGGTGTGCAACTGTAGTCCCAGCTACTCAGGAGGCTGAGGTGGGCAGATCGCTGGAGCCTGGGAATTTGAGGCTACAGTGAGCTGTGATTACACCACTATACTCCAGCCTGGGCAATAGAATGAGACCCTGTCTCAAAAAAAAAAAAAAAAAAAAAG